TGTGTGTGTGTGTGAGAGAGAGAGAGAGAGAGAGAGAGTGAACCCCCTCCACACACACACACACACACACACACACACCACCCGCTTCCCTTCCCTGCACCTGCGCTACATCAGCAGGCTACTGGCTGCCATTCAGTCCCCGCACACACTGACACGCACGCAGCTGAAACACACCAAAGCTCTCTGCTCTGACAGTTTTGCTATTCAAACATTCTTGCAGCGTTTCGCTGTGATGAAGGCAGAGACTGTAAGCCTGATTCTACCTACAAGTTTCAGTTTTTATTTATTGGAGGAGAAGATTCATTGAAATCACAGTGACTGCTCCAAAGCCCAGTCTGCACCTCTGTGGCCTTCACTCACATAACGGAAAAACGTGGAAACATGTTTAGGATACACAGTCCTACACATGATACAGATAAAAACAGGTAAAAAAAGAAAACTATTATTGATGTGTTCGTCTTTCTACAGTAGCAAAAGATCTATCAACCAATAAGGACACGGCAGCACGTCACAGTCCCCTGTATAGGAGCAAAGATGTTGAGTTTTTAATTACAACAAATGGCCTAAACGTGACTGCACCGAATAAACGTTAATGAAAACAGTGATTTGGTGAAAATGGAGGTACACACATGGTGTAAGATACCAGCGGGCCCAGCAACATATTTGGGCTTTAACTTCACAAAACTGGCCGCGTAATAAAAATTCAATTCCTTACCGCGATAGAACAGCGCACACACCCTATTGATTAAACTATAAGGACGGCGGGTGACGTCATGCCCCCCGCCCCCTTATTATCCGCAACGCGGTGAAAAAGGAAAGTGGCTCTTGTGGGATGAACAGGCCACTAAGCTCGTTGTGTTTGCGTGTGTGTGTGTGTAGGGGGGTCATTTGACCTAATTTTAAAAACCATATAATCTCAACAACAAACAGGGGATTTGGAAAGCGGCCAGTATAAGACGGGAGCAGACAACGTGTCCTCACATTGTGGACAAATATTATTATTTTTTAAATTAGTAATTCATTTGCTCTTGTTACCTTCCTTCAGGCCTGAAGCTTCCTGGCGCTGCCTCTGGTTTATAATGGATCATGAGCTGCTGTGATTAATCCTATGATAAACTGTGTTTTATTCTGTATTATAACATGAACACTGTTTTTTGTGGAATATGATTACAGGACACACTTGTGTAGTGATAAAGGCCACTTGAAAGCTACAGGCTACAGGCTGCACACACACACACAAGCCAGGTTACCACAGATAACATCTGGGAGCTTTTTTTAACCGGGGGGGGGCAACAGCTTCTCCTTCTACCTGTATCACACAGAAGGCACCTGGTTGACCGCACTGCGCGTGAACATGCTCTGGATCCACACCGAGTCCAGCAGCTTTCCTTTAGCTGAGCCCCGCACAACACTTTTAATTTCACCCAGTGAGGTCTGCAGTGAGTGTCACGGTGCATCCAGTCCCCGTGCTCGCCTTATCACCGCATGAGGTGTAACATTTTGGACACTCGATGCCCCCTATCACCGGCAGCGCTGGCTGTGCCCTGCAGCGCCTTTATTTACTGTTTGAACCGGTGAGCTGAGAGCAGCTCCGAGATTAAATCACATTTGGGAAAGCACAGGGGTTAAATGCAGGCTAATATTTTTTTACGGAGATAGGGCGATATCAGTGTTTTCAGAGTGAACATTTACCTTGTCCTAGTTTCTGAGCACTTGGCCTCACTCACACGGAAGTCGACCAATTCACAAAGGCTTTTTAAAGATATATTTTAAAGGCGGGTTTTGACAAGAAAATGAGAATAAAGAGCATAAAATATAGCATTATCTGGTTTAACTGCGGTTTGGATCGGCCAGAAACCTTCTCTCTAAATAAAAATCAAAACGTATCATGCTAAAAATGGCACTAGAAATTGGCCTACTTTGGCTCCGGTGTTTAGTTCAAAACCCTGGACCTCAGCACTGTGTGTTTACATGAGTTCCAAATAAGATACAACGTTTTATGACACTTCACAGAAAATATAGCTACGCTGATGTGAAACATCAAGATTCCCTGCATCAACTCAAAAGGCTTTCATCCTTCGTCGGGGCCTTCGGGCCTGCAGGGGCCCGGTGCTAAAGGAGAAGACTGTGTTCATCCGAGCTTTTAGAGACAATTTGTTTATCAGCGGTGTATACAACCGATTCAGCTGTTCGGATTAATGATGAACGGCGACTGGCGACCCCTTCATTTTTAAAACCTCCTTCTAAGGACAGGGAGGAGTGGACGGATAAGTACCGAGGGGCCTCTTCCAATATTCATCTGCCGGTTAATGTGAGCTCCGTTCCCTCGGGACCAAGCCTGCGCGCGCACGCACGCACACACCAATTTATAACCGTTAGTTAATTTCAGAGGATTATTATTTGGGGGGAGGGGGCGCTGGATGGTGCAGGGAGACATTTTGGGCACCAGTGTTGTGTTTTTTAAAGGACATGAAAGAGGTGAGGTGGTGGTGGTGGTGTGCATCGAGAGTCACCGGGGAGTCTGAACCGTGAGAACCGGGGTTAACCGGGAAACAACTGGGCCCGTTTGATTATCCAAACGGCCACACTCAAGACTGGCTCCTTTCAAGAGGGATCACCTTCACTTTAGACCTAAGTGATGATTTGGGTTGATAAATAACTCCGTGTTTTGGAGGGAAAAAAGAAGAACACTGCAAAGAAAGCGTCCAAAAAAGCACCGCACCGTGTCACATCGACTCAGATAACATAAGGAAATGTTACAACATGACACAAGGCCTGAGCTCAGAAGATTAGGCTGCTGCAAAGAGTCATAAATAATCAGAGAGCCTTTGCAGCTGTTACAGTCAGTGTCATTACGAAATAAAAATCCACCAGTGACATAAATTCTCCCATCAATTTGCACAAACCTACAATAAATGTGAATGAGGGCAATAAATCTGAGTAATGCCTGTTTAGAAAGGAGACACTGGCTTTAGCGCTGTCTCGTTATGCCTCCCTGAGTCCTGTGTCCCATTCAAAAGCAGGCCCAAAATACACACAGGTCTTCTAAATCATGTATACTGCACTGCTAAGCTGATTCATACAAAAGTACATATTTCAAAACATGATTTGGGTCTCAACAGCAATGCTGCTTAATCTTTCTGGTGGCTTTGAGATGAGGAGAAATGACAGTCTATACCTGAGGATGTTGGACATTTTGGTGGAAAAATCTTCCCCCTTTTTGGAAACAGGCAACAAACTTTGGCTTGATGGGCCATCGGCAGGAACTAGAAAACAGAAACGTGGTTAACCACGAAGCACAAGCTGAATGATCGGAGCACAGGAGTTAAAAGGGGAAGTTTCCCCCAAAACTCTTATTTCTGTGAGATGAAGTGTAATTTGTTACATCCATAAAAATGTTAAACAAAAGTTATTGTTGAATTTATAATAAATAATTAATCAGCAGAAAGAAAAAGTCCACAGACAACATGTGCCTGCACACCCAAAATGACTGAAATGAGAAAAAATCAAATCAAAACTCATACAATTTCAAGTATCCAAATTTCCAAAATTTATTCATTTCAAACTGCATATTGAAAAAAATATACTCAGCTGAAATTGTAACTGTTATAAGGATAGTATTAGTTCCGGTATATATATACATGAAGTGGTTGGCTTCTGCGTACAGGCCACAATTTTTAAAATACAACTACGGAAATGAATTTTGAAATAAAAACTTAAAATATCACAGTAAATATACAGAAATTGTACAAATCAATTAGAAAATAAAGAGCACAAGCGTCATAACTCTAACAGATGAAAAGTGGGAGACAGAAATATAAATTAACAACCTATATTTTAAGCTGTGTGAGAGAAAAATGTCTTATCTTTGAAAAAAAAAAAGAAATTAAAACGTTTAGTAATATTGACCATAAATGAAAAAAGATAACAGTATTACCTGCTTCGTTTTATGTCCCTTTTCTTTCCAATGTCTGCTGTAATAAAGGAGCATAACTGATCGCTCCCATATAAATCCAGTTCTGCCATTTTTCACTTTTAATATTTTCTGCAGAACTGGCGCTGCTTTATATAAAAAAGAAAAGAAAATTGCAAACTCTTGCAGTTTAACAAACATTTTCATCTGATTGTAATGTTCCTTTGATAAATACTATACAAAAGGTGTTTGCACTAATAAAACATCTGATTGCGACTCCCACTCTCTAGTCTTCCAAACTTCATCCAGCAGTGAGGCTGGGGGCTCCTACCGTTCCTCTAGAGCTTCCTCGGAATCAAATGAAAGAAAAAGGAGTCGTGTGTCCTTCTCCTCCAGATGTCTATACAACTTTTCCCACCCCGAAATTTTTCTGTACAAAAATAGTCCAACGTTAAGTAGTCCGCAGTTTCTCTTATAAAAGTCCTTTCTCTCTCTTTCTGCTTGGTCTCTTTTACATGTGTGTTAACGGCAGCGTGCCGTTGATCGTCGTGCCCGGCACGGTGCTCTGGTAGTGCCCGGACATGTGTAGCCTGGCCTGGGCGGTCTGCTCGCTGACCTCCGCCCCGGGCAGGTACATGCTGATCATGTCCCTCAGATCTCCGCTTTGGCAGCCCGGGGCGGCCCGGTGGGACGACGAGGTGACGACGGGGGGGCTGGAGCTGCTGGACTCGGACTTCACCACCGAGCAGGGCCCCATGGAGCTCAGGGCGGTCATCCCGGGCGTGGTCTGCTGGGAGTAGGACATGGAGTATGTCGGGGAGCCGTTCATGTAGCTCTGGGAGCTGGTCATGGTGTTGTACTGCAGTGCGCTCATGTCATAGCGGTGCATGGACTGCATCTGGCTCGGGTTGTGTGCGTTCAGCCCCGGGTGCTGATAACTCAGCTGGTCCTGCATCATGCCGTAGCCCCCGTTGGTCCAGCCGTTCATATGAGCCGCATAGCTGTCCATCCGCTGGTTCACCCCGCCGCCCAGTCCAGCCCCCACCCCTACACCGACCCCACTTCCCATCCCGTTTCCTCCCGGAGCCAGCAGTCCGCCGGGCAAGGTGTACTTGTCCTTCTTCATCAGGGTCTTGGTTTTCCGCCGGGGCCGGTATTTGTAATCCGGATGCTCCTTCATGTGCAGGGCCCGCAGCCTCTTGGCTTCGTCGATGAAAGGTCTCTTCTCGCTCTCCGACAGAAGTTTCCACTCGGCGCCCAGTCTCTTGCTTATCTCCGAGTTGTGCATTTTGGGATTTTCTTGCGCCATCTTCCTCCTCTGCCCCCGGGACCACACCATGAACGCGTTCATGGGTCTCTTAACCCGCTCTGGGCTGTTTTTCTGGTTGTTGCCGGTACCGGACGTGTTGGTGTTGCCCGTGCCCCCCGTGTTGGTCTGGGGAGCTGGGGGCTTCAGTTCAGTCTCCATCATGTTATACATCAGGAACAGCTTTTAGTTGGAGCTCCCGATCAGAGGAAAACAGCCGAGACAAACTCCACAAGCCAGAGGCAGGACAGCAAGGAGCTGCAGTCAACAGTTACCTGACGAATCTCTCTGCAACTTTTTCTCTGGACAAAAATAACAAGCGCCAAGCCGCGTCTCCACACACTCTCCCTCTCTCCCTCTCGGTGAGTGTGTGTGTGAGTGTGTGTGACAGAGAGGCTTCTCCCAATAGGTCCCTGCTATGTTGTGTCCACAAAACTTCTCCCGTCGTTTCTCCGAAAAGGCATCAACAACTGTACTTTTTCGTCTCTGCCCGCCTGAGCCTTGACAACTCCAGATAGTTTTCGAACAAGTTAATAGACAACCATTCATGTGACGGGGCTGTCAGCGAATAAATGGCTTCGACCTGGCCAATCAGAGCCGGCCTGCTCCCCTGACAGACCAATAGGAGACATTAATTAGCATAAAGAGGCGGGGTCTGCACTGCCCAGACACACACACACACACACACACATACACACACACACACACACACACACACACACACACACAGAACGCACACACAGACTGCGCCAAAGTACCTATTTACTATATCCAGGCTTATGGAGACATTTCTCTGGGAATATATATATATATATACACATGTTGGCACTGAAAAGTGATCACTTTTCAACATTGTACAGAGGAGGACGGAGGTGCAAAGGATGCTGGAGGTTGCCAGGAAATTATATGAAGTGGTGCAGACTTTATAAATAGGGCAAAAAAAAAACTTTACTAACAAAAAATGTTTAAGAATTTCTAATGATTAAAAAAGCAATTCGTGTATGTTTTGGTTCATTTTCTTATAAAATATAGAGCCTAAATCCGAACAACAAATCCAAAATCCAAAGGGCTTAAATAAGTGAGCTCAATAAAAAGTGTTAAATAAATGTATCCAATGTTGACATGAATGGTGTCAGTGGAAACAGCATTGTTCTGACACTATGTCAAGGCCCGTGACTCTGCTGTTGTTCCAAACCAAAAAGTCACTAATTCCCCCACTTACCGCCTCAATAACATAACAACACTTAAATAAACTTTGTTAGCTAACTCAAAGCAGTGAATGGCGGCGGTGCGTGTGTGAGGAGGGGGAAAGCCACGGCTGGATTTTTAGCTTGAAAAGAGGAAAGGTAATCCAAGATGTTTCCCCCAGTCCTTTTGTTTAGCGAAGTTGAATGCCAACACACAGAAGGCAGACGGGCTCATCTCAGCACAAATAAGCGCTTTTTTGTTTGGGATGTTGTCGCTACATCTGTGCAGACAAAGACCAACTCCACTCCACTTCCACCGCCACAGCGCTGCTGCTGCTGTTCGGCCTTTGTAGTGGGGAGAATACAGCCTGCGCCGAGGAGAAATAAAGGTGAGGAATATTTTAAGATAAAGTGTGTTTGCACAAAAGGCACAGCTCATTCATAAAAGCTCGAAAAAGCGTGTCAGCCAAATGGTGTGAATGAAAAGCAGCCTCCACCTGCTTCACTTAAATCTGGATCAAACCCACCAGACCAAGATTATTAAAAGATGAAACGTTGTTACATCACAGGGTTTAAAGCCAAATAAGTCACTCATGTGCTTATAATGTCCAAAACAACTAAAGTTTTTGGAAGCTGGGGGTGTTGGTGCCACTTGTTTAGCTTTTTCCCTGGACCTCCATCTGACGGCACAGCGTCCTGCTGCGTGACACCAGCGCCGCCCGCTGGACACAGAGAGAACTACAAGCAGCTGCAAAAGCCAGGACAGTTTTCTCCAAGTACAGAGACAAAACAGAGGATGGCTGCTCAGAGGTGCTCAGTCAAAGAGATGTGAAATGCTAAATATATTCCTAAACATATTTAACAGCCAAAAACAGCCTAACAGAACTGAGAAACATTCGTCACAACACAACCACACACCTGCCTGTCTGGATCTGCCAGCCAGACATGCCCAATAATTAAAGATAGATCAAGTACATACACCTGAAATAATTTAATTTAAATGCGCGCCTCTAGATTAAATTATAATTGAAAGTGAATAGATCAAGCCTTATTATTTTGTTTTAGTCATTTGATAATAAATGGAGGAGCGGGGCCCCGTGATCTCATTATGCAGGCCCCGGCAACCTTACATAAGATTCATCTTGTGCTTAATAGGCTGCGAGAGGCGACACATGCAGCTCAGTCCATTATAATGCAAGGTTGAAATGGGCCGCTCGGCTGCTATCTGCATCTGAGTGTGTTCCCCGCTACCTCTAATCTGCTTATGATAATAAAGGAACAGCGGGGCCCTGCAGCTCTCTGAAAGTAGGCCCCAGCCAGCCGGGAATGGCCCTGCATCCACAATCATTCTGAATTAAAGCCGTTGTTTGACAAAAAACCAGGAGAAACTAGCGGGGCGGCTCCCTCGGACCACTTGTAAGCCCCCTGCTACACCAGGGTGGGTGGATACAACAAATATAGCAAGGAGCACGCTGCGATTTGTGGTTGCACACGTTTAGGTGACACGATCCGTGTAAAAACAAGCGCTAAAAAGAGCAATGATACCAGTGAAAATGACTGGGGCAGGACAAACACGATGCAAAATATAATTTCCGAGGTGAGAGCCATCGTATTTGTCAGGTGATCCAAATAAAATATACACATGACAGAATCTACAAAAGTCCCGAACCTGATGAAAAGAAACAAAATTAAAATTCTATTTGGTGCTGAGAGACAGACTTCAGGTGACGTGGAAACAAACTTGTCTGCCACTAGGGGCCGTGCCAGGGGCTGGAGACACCCACTAGATAATACTTGATCACAATATTAATACCTGCTGCCTGTAAATACCTGTGGAAGACATAAACTGTCTAAGGCTACATTTTTTCAGATGTATGGGGGAATTAAACTGCTCTTTATTTTTAAGACATCAACGAGGCTTTAGACTGATGCTTGATTTACGTCTTTGTTTTTTTTTCTGTCGAAATATTCAGATAAATATAATTTTTTTTGGTGCAAAAATAATATATACTAAATTAGGTGTTATAGCACATAGACCTCTATTAGACCTCTAATATACCGGTCGATAGGTTTGTATTAGATTGTAATACCTTAAAATATAAAGTAGTTAAAATCGTAGAATTATAAACTTAACTGCATTTGAAGAATTTGGCAGTGTAATAAAATGTATTTCTTATAAATAAATAGTTTTAAAAGTGGGGCCTAACAATAAATACAACGCGTTTTGTTTTATGTGCAATTCAAACGTTAAAGCCTATAATTTCACGTTTTTTAAAATAAACAGCAGAAGAGGAAAATAAATAAGTAAATGTTAATGAATCACATAAAGACAGATTTCCTGGCCATAAATGTTCCCTTTGCACAAACTGAGTAGAAAACGAACTGGTAACAAGCTCATGATGTCGTGAGGAGTCATTCCACGACACTGCGTGTTTTATACACACACACAGACTCAAGCACACATGCACACGCGCGCACACGCTCACACATACTAACATACACACCTACACACACAAACACTCGCCGACACACACACACACACGCACACACACACACGCACACACGGGGCTTCTCCTCTCCGCCGCACTACAACTTACTGCCAGTTTGGGAGTTGTCTTCCTCTCGTCTCGATTGGCAGAAATTAAACAAGATGCCATTTCGTTCAGCCTCCTCTCTCAGCCTTCCTCCCGCTTCCTCCGGCGAGGCCGCCTCAGCTTGTCCGGGGCAGAACTCCCGACGCCGGCGGTAAAACAGTCCATCCGCATGTTCCCCCCTCCGGTAGTCCGCGCGGTTTGGGTCCGTCGGCCGGCGCGCTGTGGCCGCGTGCAGCCCCGCCGATCCCCGCTGTCTGTCTGGGCCTCCGCTGTCTTCTCTCCGCCAGTCCTGCAACAAGAAAAGCCGTTTATGGCGACACACAATGTGAAAAGGGGCCGATTTAAAAAGGAGAAGAATGCATGCAAGAACAACAAAAGTCAGTTATAGCAAAGTCTATGCCTCTCCTCTCCTATCTTCCACCCCCTAGCTTAGCCCACATAATGAGCAGGAAAAAGCTTTATATTTTGTTCACTGGGTATTCACAGATAATTTGAAGCCATTGTTTCTGCCACAGATGGTTCTTTTTAATACAATAACGGTGCTCTTTGTGAATAGCGAGCCCACAATAAAAATCTAAAGCGTCCTCCTGAATAACCATTTTGTTCTCTCTTGTATAGGCCGAACAAAAGCGCCAGTGAGGTAATGGCCTGCCTTATTGAAAGGCTCAGAATGGGGATTTGATAAAGATTTTTTCACTCCTTTTTCCTTTTGCACAAAGTACAAGGCAATGTCAAAGAGAAACTGACACTGCATGAAAAGCAGAAAAGCTTGAAAGAGTGCATCCTGTTGCAGGTTGCAAGGATTATTATTATTATTATTTACATTTCTTAAATTGCAAGTGCAGAAGTCAGAGGTGAGACGTTTCTGGGGCTGCTGCTGCAGTGCAGGTCAGGTGCAGGCCTGTTGTGGATTTTACAATGAAGCTTAAATCCAGAATACATTAGCCTCCAAAGGTCTGCCGTGGATTTGGCACAGTCTCATAATTTTGCATAGGGTGAGCCAAGTTGTGTTTGATAGCGTTAAGTATTCATATGCTTGGTGTCTTGCAGCACCTCCTGTTTCTAATTCTACCCTTTTTCATTACAAATGCCCAGAAAATATGGCATGCCCTTACAGTGTTGATAAGGCACTGTGAAATGCCATAAACACATGAATGTTAATATAGGGGGCAAACCCGGTGGCTGAGATGCACGCCTGCAGGTGTGTGAGGTGTGTGCAGTCAACATGCAGTATTAGCTCCTCCAGGATGGATCCAGTAGCCATATACAAGGAACCTTAGTCTGCCCACGGTTGATGTAATTTGTAATTAACTCATGGCTAATCAATAAAGCGTTTAACAGAAAGCACAATAGAAACACAGGGGATGATCCCAAGCCAAACATATTGGATGTCAGTGATTGTTACAAGGTGAGGACACCCTGTCTATCACAG